TAGCACGGGGTTCATCCAGAAAGTACGTCCGTCGTTCGCCAATACAAACCTGCCAAATTCAGCCCTTCCAAGCTCTCATGGCGCCTGGTAGGTAGACAACATCTTGCCTGCGACGCACACGTGTGCGGCGGGGTGGCCTACCCTGAATCTTACAGGCGCCGAGCTTCGGTATTTCGCCGAATGAATCTGAGGAAAACGGACGTACTTTCTGGATGGTCCCACGTTCCCTGGGCCTAATTTTTAGTGCCAATGATTTTAACATGGGAGCGTGACCACTATGTGGTCACGTCGCACGGACCGTGTTAGTAGTTATTATACAGCACCTCAAAACAAAGAGCGATGACATAAACTCTCTGATACAAGACAGCAGTCTTCGGATAGTGTGATTGTCCACTCGGAGCCCACTCCCCCATGCCCCGCCCCACGCGCGTTATGATATGTTAACTAAGCCGTCCGCTCGTTAAGAGACGGAGGTCCGGAGAGATTCCAGGAACCTCCGCGGCGGCCCAATGAATGCGATGCCACAGATTGGCAGCACGGCTTTTAGCTGCTCGACGGGCCACGCCGCTCCGCCACGCCGCTCCGCCACGCCGCGCCACGCCACGCCACGATGGGACCAAATAAACGTCCTTCTCGCTCGGCTCGGCTCAGAGGAGATTCAAGGTAAAATCAATGAAAGTCGTGAACAACAAGACTGCTGCTCCTCTCCGCTCCCGGAGCCTGACCCAGGGAGGGGATGAGACGGCAAGCGGACTGTAGCAGCTGCGGGGCTACTCGGGGAGACGAGGAGCAGGGGGTTGCAGGGCTGCGCGGGTCGGACGAAATCGACCCCAAAGTGCGGCGCTTGGGGCGTACGAGGTTGAGTTATTGGAGGGTGAAAGCTCAACGGGCTGGGCGCAGCTCAAGGCCGCCCCCGCCAGCACCATACACAGGGGCCGCGGTTGGCAGAGTACATCACACGGGCTGCTCCTGATCCCTGGAATAGGGCCGTCAGGAGCAGGCGGGGCGTGGCGGGCCATGGCGCTCCAGGTAGGAGGCCCAGCGGGGCCCAGCGCTTGCTCGGCATGCTAGAGCCATGATCTGGTCAGAGGCCACTGGGTCGCCCCTTGGCGCGGGCGGGGCGCGGGCGCGGCGCGGGCGGGCGGGGCAAACCTCCCACGGCCGTGGCGCGCGGTGGCGCGGGCGCGGGGGGCAGCGCGGGGGGAGAGGGCTGCGGTGGTGGCCTCCCTCATGATACACGATCCTCAGCCCCACCAGTTTGCGGGGAACAATTATACATCACGATGGCGCTCGGCCAGCCCAGCCCGACCAGCGCAAGCGCGCGCAGCGCAAGCCTCGATTGTTACCGATTGACGAGAGCTTAGCTCGAGGAGGGCGTCGTGGGGGCCGCGGGCCCTCCCTCCTCTCCAGAGCACGCGTGGCCCGGCGCGCATGGGGATGCCACCAGACTGGCGGGGCTCAAAGCATTGGCCCGGCTCCGGCCCGGAGAGGGTTCGTCATTGTCCTCCCCGTTGTGGGAACTAGAGGCCCAAGAGAGCCGTTAGAGGGGTGGGGCCCGCAGAGCGCGCCGTGGGGCCCGCCCATCAGAGTGAATGTGGCACAGCGCGCTGCAGCGACCCGCAGGGGACCCGCAGGGGCATGCCAACACGTGTCGCCCTCCGGGTTCCGGCATTTCCGGGAAACTCCGGGACAGGAGCGCGCCGCGACGCCAGCCCAGCGGCAGGCGACGCCCTGCAACGCCCTGCGACGCCAACAGTGAATGCAAATTGTGCGCTGTTCCTGGCCGGCCCGGAGCAGGCCCAGAAGAGGTCGGGAGGAGGGGACCGGGGTGTGGGGACCAGGAGGAGAGACAGAGGAGTAGGAGGAGGACGACGGCAGGACAGCAGAGGACCGTAGGCTGCAGGACAGTGGGACAAAAGGCTACCTTACCTCCCCCTCACCACCTTCACACGCAGACACATATCCAGGATTTGCATGCATAAGGCCAGGGGAAGGTGGGGGCGGAAGGAGGCTCGTCACTTCATGCCATGCCGCACTTTTGCCTACTTTGCCCTTTTAATTGTTGCGTCGTTGGACATGTTCACGTAGCCACACTGCCGCTCAGAAAAAGTCCTTCTCACTATCAGCTGCACCTAAAGACTGACGCCGAACAGTGGAACTTTGGCCAGAGCGGGCCAGAGTCTTAGAAGCGTGTTCCCGCGGTTGTCGCACGACGCAGAGGACCTGCCGCAATGGCTCCATCTTATGCCCTCCGGACCAGCGACTACGGCCACGTGCGATACTCAGGTGGACCGGGTCCACGAGAAGGGCCGATGCCGAAGCGTGAGAAAAGAACATTGGGGGACGCCAGCTGCCCCGTCGTCGGGGCCCCGTCGGGGCTGCTGCTCCTGCAAGCCGAGTTTCTCTACGTTTCGTGTCAGCGAGGCTAGCAGGGCCAGGGCAGCCAGGGCGGCGGGGCTGCGCCGGCCCGCTCACTGCTGGCGCGGCTGAGCCGATGCTGCCTGGATACGGGAAGGCAATGCAGCAGCAGCAGCGGCTGCAGGCACGGCTGCGGGCATGCACACGAGCAAGCGCAGCGGCAAAGGAAACAACCGAATACATGCACGTCAGCCCTCGCCCTCCACCCACGGCATTGCCTAATACAGACATGCTGCAGAGACAAACCGGTGGTGCGGTAGTGTCGGCGGGCGGGGAGTGGCGGGGAGGGGGAGGACGGTCACCACCACGACGTCAAATGATACAGAGGGCTCGGCCGCCACGCGCCGCCACCCGGGCCGGGCGATGGAGTCGTCCTATCACATCACAACGTGCTTGGTCACCGACCGGATAATCATTCTGACATTTTCGAGGCGCGCCTGATCCCCCCCCCCCTGTTCCCCCGCGTCGCGGAGCCCGCAGCCCGACCCAGGGGAGGGAGGGGGCGTGCCACCGTCGCCAGTCACGCAGTAACGCCCAGCTAACGCCCCGGTCACGCCCCGCGAGCGGCCCGCGCGAACGATTACCGGACAAACCGACCGAACCAAACGGCCTACCCGGCCCCGACCAGCCCGCCGCTACGTGGACGAATGGCCACCGCACCGCGACCAGCATGCCAAGTAATTGTCCTGCAGCGGCGCGCGGCGGCCGAGCAGAGCAGCGTCGACTGTGGGCAAACTGTGAGGCCGCGGCGGGCGAGTCAACTGTGTGTGTTCATCGGCCCCGGGGGACGAGATGCAGCTTCGCCTGGCGCAGGACAAGACGACGCCCCCGCCGCCCGCCCTGATCACCACTGATCACCCCACGCCCCCGTTCCAGGACGCGGCGGCAGCCGCTTTCCATCGGACAGGAAGCGAGGCCTCCTCCGGGAGGTCGCTCGGGGCAGCATGCCGCCTGGAGGCGGGGCTGTCCGTCACGACGAGTCGACTCGACGGCGACAAACCCGAGCCGACGCGCCGCGCTTGCTCTAGTTGACACCTCGCGCACGGACCGGACCGGCTGCTGTCCAGCTACCGCCTTGCAGCCGCTTCCAGCTGCGGCCATAGGACAGGCTTCACTATGGACACAGCGAGCCCGCCAGCCCCGCCTCTTATTGCATAATACGGGCAATTCACTTTAGGTCCATTGTGTTCCATTTATTTCGTATTTCCGACCCATAATGAAGTTGTGATACTGATGCTTTCGCTTCTGGCGGTTTGTGGTGTTCTTTTCCACGACGACACCTCACCGCCGGTGGGACGCTGGGAGCCCAATCACTCTGAAAATCGACACGGGACCGGCGCGGATCAACTTCGTAAGACCGGCCGACTGTGCGATGGACAGTTGAGATACAGAAACAGACGTCGGTCCGCTACTGCTCGTGTCGCAAGACCACCAAGACCAGGGAAAGGCAAATACGTTGGCCGCGGCACAGTGGCCAGGCCAGGCCGGGCTGATGAAAAGTCCCGCGTGCGCTCCGGCAGTAAAGTCCTGGCCCCCGTGCGCGCGCTCCCCTCCAAGTCCTAGCGACTCCAACCGCCAGCCTGGCTCCTCCACGACAACCAACAACAACTCCTCGGAAATCACCCCCTGGCCCCTCGGGCACACTGTTTTCGAGCGGTTTCTGCTGCAGTCCGCTTACTTCACTTTGGCGGAGTGAATCGAGGCGGCTCATGAGCTACGCACGGTGCAGGAGTGCTCGTCACACAAGGCGTGTGTCGGTGGGGCCCCCGGCCGCCGACAAAAGAGCTCCCGCCGGTGCACTGAGTGTTGGCCCAGCAGCCTACGGGGGGCAAACACTCGGCGGCGCAGTGACACCGCCAGCCGCGGGGCCAACGGGCGCCCGCGAGGCAGGCAGCCGCTCACGCCAGCAGCATGTCCCGCAGCGCTGCTTTGACTGCGGCCCCGCCCCTCCCCGCGTATGGTCCATGACAATGGGGCATAACACGCGCAAAGTGATTTGCGCCTCATCATAACACGGCGGCAGAAACAAGAGAAACTCTGGACAGCAGCGCGGCTGCGGCTGTCCTAATGGCGGGACACGCACGGCAGGTGTTAGAGAAAAGGGGGAGGGAGAAGGGGGAGGCAACGTGTCACACCAGGGGGGACAGTCGAAACTTGAGTGAGGGGGGAGCGGGAGAGGAAGAGAGATGGAGAGAGAGGAAGAGAGAGGAAGAGAGGGGAAGAGGGAGAGAGGGCAGGAATGCTTGTGTTGCGGTGGGAGGATGGTATGTATGCTGAGTAAAAGTATGCGCGTTGTTTTCGCAGTAAACCCGACAGCTTACATCCTGCCTTGTCAGCGGATGAATCCGTTAAGCGGGAAGCGCAACCAACCGTTCAAACACTAGCAAGCACCACAACCACTTCCACCCAAGAGAGCGGGCGTTGTCGAGGAGGCCACCACCATCGCCGGCAGGACGTACACTACTGCTTCTGTCGCAACACTGCAGCGTTGTCGTGGAAACGGCGCGAGTCTGGCGCCGTCCGCCCGCGGCGCCGCCCAGGTGGCCCAGGCCCAGGCTCCCAGCAGCACCCCACCCCGCGCCCCAGCCGCCCCGCCCCCGCCCGCCACGAACAACCCCCAGCCTGACGTGCCCACAGTGCAGTTGTGATGGTGCCCCCGCCGCCACTGGTGAGTCCAGCAGGCCCGCCCAGGGACTCGGCACGCCAATAGAGCGCTCTAAAGAAATGGCGTGAACATGAACAAAACCGTACAACTCGACAGGGAAAAGACACAGCAGGGTTTTCGTTCAACGCGATGAGTGGATTGAAGCGTTATAATATGGGTCACGTAAGAAACACCCCTCCGCCCTTTCCTATCTCATGTGTATAGGTAGTGCGAAAAATTCGCGGTTTGGGCCGTCGATTGTTTAGTTTCATTTGGGCAACATGACAACGAACCGCGAGAACGGCGGACGGGGCGGATGACCGAGACGCCCGTGCACTTGTACGTGCACTCGTGCACAACTAGATGCACGCCACAACGGCCAAAACAGTTTCCCACCCGCCAATAAGAGGCTGATACGGGATGTATTTACCGGGCCTCGAGTTATGGATCCCACGCGCAGGTGCGCAAGAAAATTATATCGCGTAGAGAAACGGGGCCCCGCGGCCCCGCACGTCTTAAATCCTCATCCATGTGCGTCCCGAGCCGCCCGAGCCGCATCGCCGATCAAAGCCACGTATTCCGCGCGTGTGAGTGTGTGTACCGCCGTGTCGCGCATAAGTCAGGGGCTGCCGAAGGGTGTTCGGCGCTGCTGGAGCGGGGTGGCTGGAGCGGGTTCCGGGGCGCGGCGGGGCGCGCTGCCGAAGGGTGTTCGGCGCTGCTGGAGCGGGGTGGCTGGAGCGGGTTCCGGGGCGCGGCGGGGCGCGGCGGGGCGGGCCAAGTGGATGTAATTCAGAACGCTGCAGCCTGCCGCGCTGCTGCCCGCTCTACAGGTTGCGAGGCGCCGGCCCCGCTGTTCACATGGCCACGCCGCGCCGCCGCTACAAGTGGCGGTATAGTGGTGGTGCGGCGCGGCCGGCCGCGGCCCCCGGTGGCAGCCACACGCCCTTATCATCCTTATGGCCCCGTGATAAGCCCGATAGCTCGCAATTACCGACAGAGTGCTTTCTGGAGTAGCGGCCGGCGGGCGCTGTTAGTGTCGCCGAGTTATGACTGGGCCCATGCGCCGCGTCGACCGGCCAGCGGCAACTCTTCCCTGCTTCAGAAAAATAAAAAGTTTCGCACCGGGGGCCATCTAGCAGCCGGTGATAAAAGATTCGGCGGATCCATGGGGGAAAATAGATAAACTGGATTGGATTGGCAGAGAATGTAAGCCATCTCAGCTATTTTTAGCCACTCCAGCTAAATTGTAGGAGCCGTAGAAAACGCACAATCGGGCTTATGCAACACCGTGTGTCTACCCGACAATTACCAATAAAGACACAAATGAGCAATTTAATATTGTAAAATTAAATTGGCCGACGATACTCACTAAAACAGTGTGATTTTTGAAAACATGCAGAAAATTTGGGTGAAGTTGGTCCAATACGAACGCCAAAAAAATATTCTAGACAAATCCTATGAATTAAGACATGGAAAATGGAAAACTTTGTTCTTCTTTGTAACGGGTTTCCATTAAAAGACCAGTTTCTTGACGAATACAACTTGTTCGACCTCTGAGCTAACTACTAACACAGCATGCTAAAGATTTTACTCAGAGGGTCCTTCACTGGAAACTGACTTAAATTTAAACATCTACCCTCTTATCCCCCACCCTGTCGTAGAGGAAGGGTGGGGCGACACTCGTACGGGCGGCTGGCTGGCTGCTGTCTAATGTCTATGACACAGAGCAGCCCGCTGGTTGGCTCGGCCTGGTGGCTTATCACGAGCGGGCTGGCCGAGGCAGGCCGCCCAGGATACACTCCACAAGCCGCGGAAGGCCGCGAGAGGTGCGCGCCCGCAGGCGGCTCGGGTCTGGATGGAGAGGTGTTTGAGAGCGATAAAAAGAACCTGGGCGGGAAGGGCCCGAGGGCACGCGTCGTAGGATTAAACCCCCTCCCCCTTTTTCGACGCTGGAGAGGGTGTAGAGTGCGGGATAAATTTTAGGGGTTGTAAAACTAAGCGGCTTAAAACTACATTGTGATAGATAACACCTCACTGAGCGGTGTGAAAATGCGCGTCCTTTTACTGCGAAATGGTATCGCTATCGCCTGGTGCCCGCTGTCTGGACCGGGGCGATCTCCCGCGCTGACCGGCGCTGACACTCACTCACTCGCGCGCAGGCAGCCGCTGCCAGGCGCCTGTCGGTGGGCCCAGGGCCCGCACAGGGTTGGGCCGGCGCCAAACACTTGTGCGGCCGCCGCGGGACACCGCGGGACACACCTCACGAGCCTGGGGGCCCTCCTGGGGGCCGCGGGGAGGGCCGCCGGGCGCACCGCGCCCTACATGTGGCAGGGCAGGAGAGCGCCGGCGTGAAAAAGTCTAATCGCCCAATCCAATCCCATCTAATCTCGATCTGGAGCCGCACGCCGCAGCAGCAGCGTGCCGCACGCTCACACCGCCTGCCTCTTCGCGCGGACAGCTGACCGAACAGTCGTGCGAGCGGGGCGCGGGGCGCCGAGCGCGGCAGTGACGGATAGGGCCGCCTCCCGTGTATGAGTCCCTCCCTCCGGTCCGGCTTGGGCGGGGGCCGGGGCGAGCAGAGCTTGCCTGTCTAATTGAACACTTTCCCACGCACGGCGTAGCAAGCAGCGGGCGGCGCGGCGCGGGCCGGACCGGGGACTACCTGCGTCTGTCTTTGTTTCTTGCGCGCGCCGGCCCAGGACCGGCCCAGCCGCAAAACAACCTCCTTTGGGCCCCCGGCGGCGCGGCGCGCCCC